GAAAAAAATATTTTTTGTTTCATCGAAATAGTTTCGTTATTGATCTGAATTAGATTTACTTTAATAAAAAAAAATATAGTAATGTATTGAAACTTTTTCAAATAAATATATTATATAATTAGTTTCTGAAGAAATATCAATCAAATCCAACTTAATTTTCTACAACGAGAAGTCATTTTTTCTATTTTATCTTCAAATATTATTTATTGAAACGTTTCTGATTGGAAACAATAGGATATTCTAGATTTTTTTTTCTCCGTAATTTAATTTGACACGTTAAGTATATCAAATAGATCAAAAAGACAGAATACAAACAGCAATGAGTAAAATATGAGCTAAATTGTGGATTATTGGTGTCTATGAAAAAAAGCTCATCTACATGCACATCTTCATTATTCTGTTGTCTTAACCTTTGGATTGAATCGAATTGATATACTAAACTTGCATTATAATCTTTACTGAATAGAGTTCGAGAATGAAAACGACAATATCATTGCAATTTTAATCATACAACTTTCAGCATCAGTCAAAACTTCTTTACAAATGTAACTCTAAAAACTCTATCTAGACATGATATTCATTCTCTCTGAGTTTTGTTAAACCAGTCGTTATCTTTATTATCAACAGATAGCGAAATAAAAAGAAATTTATTACAAGATAAGTTCATAAATAGTGTAATGCCTTGTTTTCTTTTTATGATATCTGAGATTTCTCTTGTATTCATCTTATTTTGCCATAAGTATTTCTATACATAGAAACGGGTTAATAAATGTGTAGAGACGATAAAAGCATAGCTAAAAGCTTATTATTGAAGTTCTTCTACTATTCTTGATGAAACTATTATTATTAACAAGATACACAGAATGTTATGAGTCTAACTTTTAATCATCACAACATACAAACGCGATTTCAAGATATATGTAGTGAATGGACCACAAAATAATACTATACAACAATATCTTTTTACTCATTAATTCTATGTTTATTTCTTTAAAAATAAAAAACATATTCAGAATTCAATTGGAGTTGTATTCATGAAATGTTTTATTAATGCATCAAACCATATAATTCAGTAAGATTCATATTAGTTTTTATTATTGAACAGAGACTTAATTTAATTTAAATTAACAAATCAAAGAGTACAGCATTTAACTTATATGCTATTCAAAATAGATTAACACATTCTTTTATCTTTCTGATAACAAAATTTCATTTTATTTGTTGTATTCCTAATATACATTCTTTAAATTACGCATTCAAAATGTAAGATTTACGATCGAAAATGATATATGATTAATCTTCTAGAAAATAGAATAGTAGTAATTATTTCTCTCATACATTTTCATATTGTACAACATAAATATTGGAACTAGGTCAAAATGAAATGAATTAAGAAGTACAGTATTATTAAACTAATATATGAAAATAGAAAAATTTTGCGAGTATTTTGATAGCCAACATCGAACGTTAGCTTGCTTTCTGGTCTACCAATTATTAATATGGGATTTCAATAGTACAATGTCTAAAATATAAAAACATATCAATAAAACTTAGCACAATGCATACGAACGCCATTTTACTCGAATAAACACAAAACGATTGTTTATGCAAAAAAATTTCTTTTTTGATCGAACGGAATTTCAAAGACATTCTTGGAATAATGTTTAATAAAATACTAAATTGAATATGAGCGTTTGATAAAACAATTGTATGTCCTTTATTTCATCAATTTATCTTGAATTTAAAATATTTCTTTTCTTTTTTTTTTTTGAAATTCGATCTTACTTTAATAAAAACATTTCCACATTGTAATTTAGATGCCTTTTTATTATAAATCAAGCTTGAATAACTTTTAATCCAACTTTCATCTATAATAATTTAATAAAGTCAAGTTGAATATACTTTTTACATTTAGATCGATTTTTAATGCAAATAAATTCGATTCGAATTAATGAAAATAGGAATTTCTTAAACTTAAACAAAAAAAATAATAATTTTAAAATAAACCTAGGGCTTTCAGAATAAGTTTTTGAACCTAACTGATCTCTTTAAATGAATTCCACATTCCTAATTAAATAAAAATATTGTTATATTTATACGTCCCATCAAGATATCATGCCGTAAATTTGTTATATATCCGATCTACTACTCATAGGAATAATACTAAAAAATCAATAAAGTTAAGGGTAACTGTGTGTGATGCTGTTTATTGCCGTTCCACTACAGTCATTGCTATAATACATAGTACATATTACATGAATTCTAGTATTGTACGTTTTTTGAGACTATATATGGCAATAGAGGGACCCATGGGTCTGATACAAGACGAAAGAAGGTAGTACAAGTTGTACTTGTATTTGCACACCCTTCATATCAATCGAATTAATTTCTTAAGCTATGCATAGCAAACAATAGAAGGATTTATTGTTTCCCGATATGAATATAAAACATTAGCTAGCTATTCACTTTTAAAAAGTAACTTGATTCATGCTGCCAATATTTAGCTAAGAATAATGTGTTGAACAGTTGTATTAGATCAAATTCATTTTGTCTCAAAAACTATTTTTTGTTGGTCATAGCCTGGAAATATTTGGCCATTTTTATGACTTTTCTGCTCTTTTTCTAGTGTTTCCACTTTTTGAGTACTTTCTTCATTTTTTTTCTTCTTTTTGAAGTCATATTCGGATAGAGCATGAAAAACTGCATCGATCTATATATATATAACTCATTGGATCAAAAACTAATTAGGAAAAAAATTTACCTACACTTCAGAGTATATAGGTCTTTGTTCCTGTTTTTGTCAGTTTTTAGTTAAATAAACTGAAAATGTATATTTGTTAAGTCATTAATCTATCAGAAATTCATAGAAGAATCATTTCCACACATATATAATGTATTATTACTATTCCAAACTGTCTTTTAGGGTTAAAAGATAGTGATTTTCGCACTGAGATCAAAAAAACATCCTTTCTCAGAATAAGCTGTTTTTTCTTTTAAATCATTTTTTTATGCAAAACAAACTTTATATTCGTGATTAGCATGGTCGATAACTTATATCTAGATCAAATTGAAGAGAGAAAAAAAATTTGTTTTTTTTTGTTCCCTGGGGTACTGAAGCAAAAATTTTTTCAAAAAATATTGGGGGGTGGAAAAATGGTCTTACCATCACTTGTCCTTTGATTTCTTGTCAACATATAGAACTCTTTCGTTTTTTTGTCATTTTCATATTCCATTTTTCTTAGTTTAACATTATTATTTATTTAACCGGCAAATAAGCATGTTTTACACATCTATTATACCTATAGTAGGCTTGAGTACACTATTTTATACTTTGATAAGCTCATAAATAGTGATAGTGTGAGTTGCAACCTATAGAAAAAACATTTCGGAGTTTATTTGTATCACATGTAAAAGCTTCTCTAATATTCATGGTTTTGTTTTATTTGTACACTTAAAGCCATAAAATATTTAACCCTTTCGAGGCGACGCTATAGTTTAACGAGAAACTGTATAGAAAAGCACTTTCTTTTGCTTTTTTCTTAGGCAGGAGGTTAAATACAATGTAAATTCTGCTCTGCCCTGGGTATGTTTTTTGATTCTTTTATTCCATAGCATGATATTTCTTATTAAAACTATCAAGATAAAAGAATTAATTACAGTCAGAACAAAATATTTTTATTTTCTTTGCTGCCGCATAGCTCTTTTCTCTTGATTGAGGTTCCTTTCCTTTCTTATAGCAGTCTACGATGTCTGCGAACATTGCGCGCAGATTCTTCTTTTTCTGCAAGCTTATGATCAGCTAGTTTATACTTCGAATTACTTGTTGATTGTTGCTTCATACCAAGTTTCAGCATCTCAGATGACGTACTAAGACGTAACGATCGTACAAGATTCACAAAATTGTAGCATGGTCACATGGCTTGTGTCATAATTTTCCTTGTAAATCAAGTAGGCGTTAACTATTGTCGTTCCAAATATCAATTCAGATGTCACCTATTGATATCATTTCATGGATCACCTGAGACATGTATAGTATGCTGATAGCGAATCAGATAAATCTATACCTTGTTTTCTTCCACTGGAGAATGCTCAATGATGAAAATAAGAAGAATATGTCTTCCAAATTGCACCTATAGGAGATGTAGATCATAACAGAATGAATCAAAGATGATGCTTCAAAAAGAAATCAAAAACAGATTGATATTTTGTTTCTCTATATTGTTCCTAGTGCAAATACATATGAGAGAAAGAGAAAAGCAAACTTGAGTAACTATTCAATTCTACGTTGAACAAGACCGCTGTGTAATGGTACAAACAAGAAAAAGAGAAATGAATGGCTGTATATACTGAAAAGTCCAACGAGTGCATTTATCGAGAGTGAATAGATATGAATATGAATGTGTTAAAGTTATTTTCTATGAAAATCGAATCGCCTCCGAAAGGATTAACATGTTATTCGGATGAAACTGAAAGAAAAAAAGAAATAATTCTTTAGAAAACTTGAATGCTTTAATTATTTTGAGTTTAAGAATGAACCAGATAAATGAAATCAATTTACACATTTCAATAAATAAGAGATACTTATTTTTAACAGGCTATTTCGATGAGTCAAAATGTAAAAAACACATAGAACAGATGTGGGTGTGGGTGTGGGTTGTACTTTTAAAAGATTACATATCCACATTCAAGCCACACTCATACGCACTCCTCATATCCACACGCGCTGACATTCATCCAAACACCAACAACAACACATTCACACCCTTTTAGAAAGTTTACCTGATACAATGTTAATTAAACTCGCAAAATTTCGTTTGAACTGAAATTACGGCATACATCATTGGTAACATATTAGAATAAAATCTTCAGATTGGTTTTATTGATGATAAAAACATTTTATTCTAGGGTACTCGATAGGAAACACATATGAGACGATATTCACAACGCGAAGTGATTTTAAAAATTAGTTTTAATTCGAAAAAAAAATGAATATTCAATAATCAATAGCGAGATAGTTCTTTTTGAGCTTCACTTGCAAATATATACTGCAATCCTCGTTGTACTCGACATTTGTCACTTTTCCAATAGTCGTTGTTGAAGTGCCAGCCCACTAAAGGTGTTCGTATAAGAGATATAACACCAACAAGAACTTCCAACTGATTTGATCGATTTTTTTGAGCAACTATTTGAAGTAATGATGCCGATATTTTACCATCTTTGGCGGCATAGTCAAAAACAATATCTTCCTGTTGAAAAGAATGACTATTTGTTAGATATAAGCCTTTCATTCTTTTTCTCATGTCTTCTGATAAATCACAAAATGTCATATCAATATAATATGCGAAATCATCTCGATTTAAATTTGAAGAAAAGATTGCATAGACGACAATATTCTTGAATTGATCTTTGCCACCTTTATCATTAAGCGGTATCATCAGCCAGTCATGATCAGGTTTTTGTTGTAAGAAAGTACTAACACGCTTTGATAGAATGCTTGTTTGAGCCGAAGTCATCTATAATATTCAAAAAGAATCTTGGATAGTAATTATTTCAAACATAAGATTTTCTCTATATCGAGAAATCTAGGTAAAGACCTATGAACAAAACTCGAGTACGTATTTATGGATTTGTGCAGATATGTAACAGGAGCAAAACAAGGCGTTTTCAGGGTACATTTTACATGATTCAATTGCAAAAGACAAGTCATTATAGAAATAAATCAGTCTTCTAATCATACGGACCATATCCACCATTATAAACTAGAAAGCAAAAAATACAACAACATCAATCAGTGTAGGTGATGTTTCTGAGAGTCTTTTTCAAACTCTCTTTAATTTATGCAATAAGAAATAGATATATTAGTTCTTCACTCTATTCCTGAAAGATGGTCGATAAGTCTTGTTGCGTACAATATCTATAGGTTTAGATAAGAGAATCTTCACGGTTTCTTAGAATCCTTTCAGAGATATATCAAAACTTGCTCAACGTAAATTGGAAAACAATTATATGTGAAATTTCAGTTTTCAATAGGAAGCAAAACAATATCATATCTCTATGTTGTAATTTTCTTGTCAATATAACAGACACCTTTTGCTTAAAACAAAACTTAACTGGAAGTGACCTATTCAATTACGTCTCAATATAGTGTTTATAACTGACTCGATTCAATATAACCTCTTTTCTCTATCTGATTCTCATAATAATATAGGCTGCTTACCTTTCGAATCAATATCACTATCTTACTTGCAGTAAAATCGATTAGAGTTTTTATTACTCGTGTTATATTAGAAGAAAGAAAGAATTTTCCAAGATAAATGTAAGAAAATATTTGGTTATATTCCAACTACAAGCATACATATTGCTTCTCAATTAGTTTCTTTCAAAGATGAATCATATCGAAAGCATACACTGATAACAAGGATTACTACACATAACAGAATATTGACAAGTAACAAGTTTCTTTTTTCCTAAGTCTTAATAAGTCATAAATAGATAATTGGTAAAAGGAAAACAACTTATTTTCGGGTAATTTTCTTTTATCCATGATCTATCATAAGACAAAAAAGAAACTCTTTATTTTCAATATTCTGTTATATGTAGCAATCCTTGTCATTAGTATATATACATTAGATATGATTCATCTTTGAAAGGAACTAATTGACAATCAATATGGATGCTGGTAGTTGGAATATAACCAAATATTTTATTACGTTTGCCTTGGAAAATTCTTCTTTTCTTCTAATATAAAACGAGTAATCAAAACTCAATCGATTTCACATCGAGTAAGACAGTGATATTGATTCGAAAGGTAAGCAATCTATATTGTTACGAGAATCAGATAGAGAAAAAGGATTATATTGAATCGTGTAAGCTATAAAAAATCATATTGAACGATATTCTAAACAATATACCAAAGACTACGTTACAATGGTTGTAAGTACAAATCGATTACAATGTATTCAGTGAAACAAGCTACGTATTTCATTTCGATTTGTACGCAAAAAAAATTTGAAACGACGAGAAAATCTCCTTTCGTTATATTTTTCGGTTACTTCATAACTATTCTTCTAAATTTAAGTTTTCTCAGAGCTTATGTAGGCAAGAAACGCAGAAATCCAGCGTGTCAACGCATTTGAATGCAATGGAAAAAATAGTAAAATCACGCACGAACGCAATTCTATCTAAATTGCACTTGGACACGGCTGGTATTAGACTTGTGAAGCGTCTAAATGCGTCTTCAGTGAAAAATTTTTTGCGTCTAGACACATTTTTTATTTTAAGTGCGTCTACATACAAAAAGTGTTACATAAGAATCGCGCCTAGATGTACTTGATGTCCTCGATTTATAAAAGATCAAACATTAATTCAGAAGTACGATAATACAGAAAATATTGTCAACCATTGCTTTTTATCTGATAAAAATTATATGTGAGAGTTTTCTATAAAATGAATTTATTCTGATGAAAGATAAAAAACAGCTCTTAGCAAAAATATAATATGGACAAGATTTCTAAATAATTGAGAATTTGAATATTTTAGCTAATGAAATTTTAAAGATGAGTGTGGGTATGAGTCAACTAACTACTTTTACTCCTACAACCACACCAAAGCGAGTCAGATCAAACCTGAGACGTATTATAATAAATTTTTGAAATTTGAAATATCAAATTGGTTGCGCCTAGATATGACTTCAGTCTGAATCGCGTCGGAGCATCACAAATATTTCATCTGAGTTGTGTCTTCCAGCGTTTGACAGCTGCGATTTCAACGTAAATCAAATGCGATTTAGATGTATTTTCATTCCCAAAAATATTTACATGGGAGTGACTGAAGACAATAGATATAATTGATTCCCTAGTTTTGCGTTTTATGGCGAATCTTTAAGAATCTAAAAAACAGA